GTCTTATTTTTAAGTTACTGCAGATGCATATTCAAACAATTTTTTTCGAGTGAAACTCCTTTGTATTCATTTCTAATACTCTTCATACTCATCTCCGTCTTGACTTTCGGAAACGTATTCGCCTTCGTTTTCGTTTTCTAATTCGCTTTCGTATTACTCTTCCATTCGTCTATGTATTCGGATTCGTCTTTGGTTGCCTTCGTCTTCTTATTGGCCTTGGCATATTAGGTTTCGTATTTGTTTTCGTTCTCGTATTCGTCTTCATATTGGTGTTCGTCGTCGTATTCGTCTAAGTCTTCGTATACGTATTCGTGATCGTAGATGTGTTCGTTTGGGTGTTCGAAGCAAAAAATAATAATTTTAATTTTTTCATGATCCAATAATCGCAACTAAACCGAATTAGTATGGGACCGCCGTTCCACCGTGGTGCACAGCTATCAGGCAACATCCATAAAACAAATATTCCGCTGCATTGATAACCTTCCTCCTTTTTTGAAGTCGGCTTGAAACTAACCAACATTTAAACCATGAAAGCTCGTCATAGACGGATAATTTCTAACTTTCCAATGTGTTTTTGATTTTCAAATCGGTTCAGTAGAACCGCCAAGCAAAGGCGGACAAAATTAATATTAGCGTATTAAAATAAAGACAAACGGGCAACACTAAATCCCTATACGCATGCAGGCTTGGGAGCTACTCCGAAACTCGCATGAAATTAGGCATGTGCAATAGCAGGATCAGCCTGTAGTGGATGTCGGGGGCTATGAGGATTTTGATATCAATGAAAAGGCTAAACATATCGTAGGACAGATTCTAAGTACATATATGATTCACAGGCTTTCTATGCTGCTAAGGGGATGAAAGGGCTCTCAAGTTACCGCGAAATAAAATCCAAGAGATACATAACTCCCTTCAGAGGAGTCTCTGAATGTTTTCAGAATCTGCAGATGCTAGCGCTACAGTGGCAGAGACAATGTTCCATGCTTTCCACTTCTTCCTCGTAACTGCACCTGCGGTAAAAATCATTAATGGGTTATCCCAACCTTTTTCCGCGCGTGCTTATCACCCGTTGTCCGGTCATCACTCCGACCATTCATCTGAGAAGATCGCTTTACATAATTTTTGGTCCAAATTTGCCTAGTAGTGTGGCAGGTGGTATTCACAGGCCATCTGGTATTTATCACTTCGATGAGTTCAACCTTTAGAGCTATGACTATGGTTATGCGTTTCCAGGAATCTCCTTGTATCCAAGGACTCATACAATATGCAAGGAGCATTTTAATGCCAGCAGGTTAAGAATACTTCTGCATTCTATGGCTACTTTGGACTTTGTTCCAATAGTTTTAGAGATTTAATAGCAGGCTGCCTGGCTGTCAGAATAAATAGCAATAGGCCGTCCTGAAAGGTCGGAAGATGAGCTACCAAGCGGCCTGCCTTATGGCGGTTAGCTGTGCTTGAAAAAAGCTACAATGGGACGGAAAGCGGAAACTGAGGCATAGTGCGAGTTAAGTGTAGAAAATATTGCTACCCTCCCCTTCGTTCAGCTTGGAACCATCTCTATATGGGGCGTTCCATACTAAAACAGACGGCGTTGACACCTCATGTGTTTGATTTGTTTCGAAATTTCTAGGATTGATGCATAAGCATATGTAAATAATAAATAAATATTAAATTTGAGCTTGATTAATACATTTTTAAAAACTTTACAGCACAAAAACAAACCGATTTATTAATTTTCTAAATGTCTCGAGAACAGGGCGAGGAAAAAATTAAAAAAAATCACACATACACACATCAAAATTGTCTATGAAAAGAAATATTAAAATTTTTTTTTTTTTTGCAAAATTTTTCACATACATATTTTTTGATAAAAAAAACTTAGTTTTTGAAAATATGCCATCTCAAAAGAAAATTAAAAAATTACAATGGTAGCTCTGATTATTGCGCAATATTTAAGTATAGTATTATGGGGTGCACTCTACAATAAAGTGCAAGTTTTAAGCTACTGCAAAATTGCGTTGATATTTAATATTTTTTATGCTAACGGCTTTTTCCACTTTTTCATATGGTAGAAAATGCGTTTTCAAAAACAATTTAAAAAAAAATTGTTTAAAGCTTGCACTTTATTATACAAAATTATTATAAGTACATATATAACGGGCTACAAAGCATGATTCAAATTATAGTAGAGATGGTATAACTAATTTTTTTATCAACAAAAAAATTTAAAAAAAATTAAAAAAATTTAAAATTTTTTTTTTCGGGATTAGCATGGAAGCCATACTCTGCTCTCGTTCCACCTTGGCTCTGGGAGAAATCTTAGCTCTGGCCAAACTGTGGCGACTACTTGTAAAACAAATGTAATTAAGTATTACAAAATACTCAAACTTCTACTAATTCTCTAAAAGCATAATCTAATACAAATTCAATAGAGGGCTTGCTTTGTTTCGCTAATTTAAGAAAATATACCTCTTCTTTTTAGTTTCAAATTACAATATAAGTTATGTAATTCACTTTTTGTTTTGTAGCTAATATAAATACATCTATATTATATATGATGTTACATATAAACCTCTGTACTCTGTGACCGACTAAGTTATTAAATCATTTTTAAGTACATAAGAAAGCACAAGGCTGTTCTATTTAAGTTACAAACAGCTGCCCTGCACCAAAGCTACAGCTGCTAATAAAATATTAAAAACTTCCGTGAAACATATGAGCCGACGCGACAGTGTTGTACATACAAATATGTACCTGTATGTATTTATAAATTTTCCTTAAACCAGCAAAGTATGTAATTGCTTAGCAACACGTTTCCTGTATACATACATACATACATATGTATGTGTAAGTATACCTCACGAAATCATTCCGAAAATGCAAATGGAAGGCCAAAATCAGCAATTGACAACAGCCAGCTGCACGAGCCAGGCCGGAAAATTTCCATACATACATACATACATTTGCTTGTACATATGTATGTATGTATATGAAGTCTGGCAAAAAGTTGCGTGCATTATATTTTCAAGGTACATTGGCGTAACATGCCTGTCTAGGCAGACGAATAATCGCCCGAATGCCGTCTCAGCGATAAGCACGCATTCGTTAGTTAATTTGATGGTCGAACAGCAGTGCGTATACGTAACATTTTGTAGAAGTTGGCAGTGCCCAGATATCGCCACCGACAAGCAGCCGGCTTTTTTATTTCCTTTTTCCTGATGGTAACCACATCGTTTCACATTTATGTACATACACTCGTATATACATACAAACATATGTATGTATGTATGTACGGTCCTTATGTAAACATATATGTATGTAGGTAATATGGCATGTATTCATTAATTGCGCGTGTATACATACACATTTCTGTCCAGCTGCCGCTTTATACTTTCTCCTATAAGCGCCTAACAGCATTGCGACATTTGGCAGACTACATACATGCGTCTATGTTGGTGGGGCGTTTGCTACCGAACTGTGATATCAGCTGCAAGTTCGGCACGACGCTGTTGATAGGTGCCATCCATACAGAGAACAAGTATGTATGTATGTGCTGCACTAACGCATGCGGCAAAGGAAACGCTCAAATGGCCTTGGCTGTCCCGACAGACGAGTCACATAAATTTTGTGGATACAGGCAATCATTGCTATAGGTATAAGGAAAAATATTCATTGGTACCGAAAAGCCGAAATTGGCTACATACATATGTACATGCGTATTTTCCGGCCCAATTTGTAGTCGTCAACGTCCATGGATATACATACATATGTACGCATGTATGAAACATCGGCTTCGTCGGCACTGACGACAGCTCGTGCCGATGCCTGTGCTCGCTTGTTGGCAACTCTTGGCTTTGGTGTTAGTAGGCAGCTGATCGGTAGCCTTGAATTGCAACAACAAACAAAACTTGCCGCCGGTTGCGCGGGAGCAGTTGGAAGGGATGGAGTTTCCGTAAACTTTTTTCTCATATCTCGTCGTGCGCGACATCGTCATCGTTATCGTCGTGGGTGCTATCGACTGATTTTAGGCTGCCGAAAAGCGTGTTGCACGCATTCACGCATGTTCGTACATATGTATGTGTGTACTTATACACACATATATACAAACGCAATGTACGTATGTATATTAAAAGCACGCATGACTCTAGGATATAGTCGTGCGATAGCTGTAGTAACTACATTTACATGAATATATTTGGTGTTTGGGGGCCCGTTCCGCAACGTTTTGGTTTTCACGGTATTCAATATGCATATTTATATGCTGGCTAGTGGCTGATTTAAGCATCGTAGCCTTCACCCTTAAATTTTTCTATATTATTTCATCTCTTCCGCCAACGAATTTGTCTGCTTCGTCTCCTATTTTGCTTCAGCTTTCGGCATCCGCCGTCAGATAGCCGGCAAACGGTTGAGTTTGAGGCGTTGTAGGGACACACATTCGCGGTTTGGCATCCCAGCTGGCTATGTGCATGTATATGTATGTACGTATGTATGTGTGTATGACTGATGAGTCTCAGGCAACCAGCCAGCCAACCAGCCAACCAGTCAGCCAACCAAGCAACCAACCAGCCGCTCACTCAGCCAGTCAGTCCTTCGTTGAACGGTGGTGCTGGTGTACAAAATATCGCACGCATAGACTCATCTGTGAATGCTTTGCATACAAAAAAAAACTCAGTTTGTGATTAATATAGTAATAAACTCATAGTTAGTTAAATTTTTAGATAAATTATAAACGAAGAACGGGATTGCAGCAGCGCCAGTCATCAGCTCAATAACAGCGTGCACCAAACATAAATCGAACATCTATACAAAATGTGTAATAATTTTTTTTTAATTACTCCTTGTCTGCTTGTGGTGTTGTAGCAGTGTCAAACTTTCCTCTCACACCTGTGATTTTCTTATTTGTCATATTGACGAGTTTTCAATTACTTCTTCTGCTTAGTTTATCATTATCTTTAATTTATGCAAATTTTCTTTTTTCTTTTTTTTCGGTCTACTTTCAGTTTCGGCTGCCAATAATACAATGCAATACGGACAAAATATATCCATACCATATTCACAGCCACAAACCGATTTGAATTTTCTCAACTCAGCGGACCATAAAGGAAAGATACATCCGAAGATTGAGCGTGACCGTGAAGAAGGTAAATTAATTAACATCTGAAAATTATATACATATACTACCTGTTAATATAGTTATACGAAGATCTCTGTCTGTATGTATGTGTGTACCTATGGCTGTATGTATGCGTGTGAGAGCAAACAATGAACCAGGAAATTTATACAGCGAAAGGCAATAAAAATGTTAAGTATACATATGTATGTACGTACATAACTCTATGTGTACTTTTGTACATACATATTTTTATGTACATAGGTATAATTATAATATGGAAATTTCCTATCAAAAATGTTGCCGCATTTACAAA